GGACTACCTTGGACAAAACTGTGGCATGGAGATTGACCATTCATCAAGCAAGAGATGCAGGGACAAGGGAAGGGAGAGCTGTAATGATTTACACCAGGACAGGCTTAGTCCCTGGCTTTTTAAGCCAAGCTGCTGGGGAGCAGGGGTTCGCTCACCTGCTCCCAGCTGGGCAGCTGAGGGCTGTTTGGGGGGCATGGGAATTTGCAGGGACACACTGATCTGTCTTTAGAAGAAAAGCAAGCCAAGTTGTCTGGGTTTTTTGGTTCTGTTTTTTCTTTTTTTCTTTTTCTTTTTCATTTTTTTTAAATACACTTGCTGAAAGTTAGGCTCCTAGATCTATATTTAAACTTCTTAATACATGGTCTGATTTTCAAAGGTGCTCGGCATGAAGCAACCCTCCCACCAACCGGCTTCTTTCTTGCTATGAACTATCCTCAAAGAGAGGTTTTCAAGTGTTCTCTTTGCTTTTAACAAGAAACACTTATTCATCTAATAAAAAAAGATATTTTCTTTATCTTCCTTCTCTCATATCAGCTCTCCCATTGCATTAGCCCTGCAGCCCCAGCCACGGTTAAGCATGGTGTGCAAATTGCACTGATAACATGGCCTCTCCTCCTCCCATCCATTATAAACTTTAGCAAGATATCAGCAGCATTCAAAACTCGGCAGAAATCACTACTTTAGTGCTTTCCGTGGTATTTGGTGGGGGTTGAGCACAGAGCAAAATGAGTTTAGTTTTTATTTGCTCAGTTGCTCCTTCCTCCATCACATCCCAGGACAGACATGGTAGATCTGGAGCTCCTGATTGTGGCAGGAGTACCATGTTTGCGGAACAGGAAATTAGTCTTCTAAAGAAAGGACTCTTCCCTTAAAAAGAAATAAATAAATGCTCTGTGTTCTTTTCTAGGGAGATCTTTTAGTAAGTGCTTAGCAGCTTGTGAGCCAAAACTGATAATGCTGGCTCCCTGGTGAGCCTGCCCTCTTAGCCTGATTGCGTGCATAGTGACTGCCATGGACTTCTTGCATCTTTTCCAAAGCAAGGTCTATGTAAGATAAAGAAAAGCATGGTCGTTTTTCCCCACTCGCCACTCCCTCACACACATTACGTAGTATTTTCCACCACAGTAAGACTGGTAGGAAGAAAACAGAAAACGTGCAACAAAATCTCATTATTACCCGCCCTAGCTTTGTGTGGCTGTCATCAACTCCTTTTTGTACATAGAAATGTTCCTCCAAAGGGAAAACTTAGTTTGATTAGCATGCTGCAGCAGTTTTATCATTAAATATTGTCAGAGATTGCTCACTCCCTTATACTGTCACTAAATAGCTTACATCTAAATGCAGAGGACCATCTGAATGAGTGCAGTTGTACCTTTTTGGGTCGGCAGGTCTATTTGAAAGAAAAAGCCCTGGAACTCGTTCCTGTTTTCTGTAAGGACTGTTGAGTTGCACCCTCTGCAGGTTAACAGAGACCGCTGAACTAGAGAGGACATGCAGACCAGAGCAGAGGTCACCTTTCTTGGCTCTCCTGAGGCTGCAATACACCAGTTGGAAAGGGTAATCCGAATTATGTTAGCACTTCAAAATCACACACAAACTCTCCACAGTAACACCTGAGCAGTCACTCGTCTGCTTAAATACTTGCTTTTTTGTTTCACACTGGTCTTGTACAAAGCTTAGCACAGGGAAATGGCTCTGGGCTCACCTAGAAATCAGCAGATGAGAGCAAGTCAGGCAGTAAAACTAACAGCAGCTAAACACAAGCAAGGGCTGTGCTTGGTCCCTGACACCTGCTTTACTCAGAAACATGGCCTAGGGTTTCTGCAGCTTGTCCTGGCAGCAGCCTTTACTGAATGTCTCATGCGCTGGTAATTATGCATGACAGTTTAGGAAGGAATTCTTTCAAAGGTAAGCTAGCCAGCAGATCCTATTGGAAGACCTTTAGAGTTGAACTCATATTCCAAATTTGCAATGAGGCTTTGGGAAAACCTGCCTTTGATGCATTGCTTTTGGGTGTGCTTGTGAACACTAGTTTTTCTTCCTTTTATAGGAGTGTCAACAGATCATAGAATCATAGAATGTATTGGCTTGGAAGGGACTTTTAAAGATCATCTGGTCCAACCCCCCTGCAGTGAGCAGCTCTCAATGATTTTTGCTCAGTAGGTGATAATATTGCACAAATGTGCATCCTGTGAAAAGTCTGGTCCCCTGAACTGGTGCAAAATAGTTGCTTTCTCCTCTCATACCAAATTCTTTATTTAATCCAGTGCCAGTGGAGTTCATTAACTTCTGTTTCCCTCTTGGTACACTCAGGTGTAATTTCCTTCTGTGAGCAGGCACAAATCACACTGGATGGGACTCATCTCACTAGATCTGCTTGTCCAGAAGCAGGTTAGCGTTAGAGTTGCCTCCCCTAAGGCAGCTGCCCAGGCTGTCTCCTTAGTCAGTTGTTATATAGGAAATGCTGAAAGGTGTCTCATTTCACCTTTCCTAGACACATTATCATGTGAGTCATCTGGAGGCATCTGTCTTTCTCCACGGACTGGATGGGAAGCCTGGACAACTGATATGGACTGGACACCTAAGGTTTTAGACCATTGGGAGGTAGATGTGATGAGTCTCAGGAGACTGCTTGTTGCCCAGAGGCATGCAGACAGTGTGAAGTCTGTATCAGAAAAAAATAAATAAATCTGTAAATAAAATTTACATTTCAGTGAAATATAAAAAGCAAAAATGTCCCTCAAAGACAAAATGGATATGATTAATTCTAAGGAGAGCCATGAAAATGTGGGTCCAGAGGAAACTAAAGACATAAAACCATGAAGTTGGCTGTCACTTTTCAAGTATTTGAAAGTGTGGTAAAATACATAATTGTAGATTAAATTTAGGTGAAGATATAGTTACAATTTTTCTCTCAGCAGCTCATTCCCATCATCTTGCTGAACATACCGGTATGCTCCGATCACATGTTGAACACACACACACACATGCTCTGATCCTGGAGCAAGCTTCAGGCTGAGGGTGATGATGGATTTTGAAGGGCCTCCCTGTGAGGTAAGTGGTGGTGTGTAGGCAAGCTGCTGCTCTCTTGGTGCCTAACTAAGAGCACCAATGTGCTCCTGCTTGGTGTTGCTGAGAGAAGTACAGCCCACCTGGGCTCCCTTCTTCCCCCCTGCCCCAGTAATCCGCCCCTGTTCTTGCATGGGAACATAGAAGAAAAATCTTGCAGAAAAATCTGCTAGCACTTTATGACTCTTGTTTGCTTTCCCTTCATTTTCTCATGCAAAATGATAGATGTGGGATAATGGGACTGAGTGGGGGGTTAGGTCTGTCTGTTGTGGTTTTTTTCCTCCATGTCTTGAGAAGGGATTGAGCTCATTTTGTCATCTGACTTTAGAAAAGCCTTCATGCCTGAGAGCCGTGGCCAGACCACAGGGCTTTTTCTTGCTGGAACTAGGTGGGGTTGAAACTTAACTCTTGTCCATTTTCTTAGCAGTGCCTACTGCCTTGTTGGGCGTTTTTCAGCTTGACATCTTGCTTTCCATGAAGGAAAACCTCTATAAAGGAATCTTCTGGTTCCCACTTTTCCTTGCCTGCCTCCATGCCCTGCGTGGGGAGAGGACATGTGTGGGGGTCAAGGCCAGGAACTCCAAGACCATGTGGCACCTAGATGCCAGGCTATGCTCAGCTGAATGTCACTTTGGCTCAATGCTTTTCTGAGTTTAGCTCCTCTGGCCTGGATTGATCCCATTTCTCCCAAAGTGCTGATGCCAGGATCTCAGCCACCTTTGGTTCCTTTAGTCCCTGGCACCTGGAGAGGATGTTTCAGCCTCTCAGCTCTGAAGTGCCTTTTGGAGATGCCCTCTCCTCTCTCTCCCTCGCTGTCCACTGACTGTGAAAGGTGCTGAGATGCACAGGACTCCTGACATAGGTGCTTCTACTGTCCAGAAAGCACCTAGAATGCAGTCCCTGCATCATGGGCTCCAGTGGAAATGGGATTTTGACTGTTGCTGTGGCCTTACGCCAAGCCTTGCTGTGGAGCCGGGCACCCTTGATGCCCTTTCGCTGCCTCAGCTTTCTGGCACAGCTTGCTGCTCTCGCAGTGGGTTGTCCACGTGCCCCTTCCCTGGTCCATCCAGGATGGCAGACAACCCCTTTAAAGGCGGCTTTAAGTGAAACAGAAATGCAAACCGGCCATAACCAGAAATATGCGTTAAGTAAGATCTGTGTCGTGACACCGGGAGAGAAATGAATGTCCCAAAACACTCCTAAATCAAAACAAGGACACTCTCAAGAGCGGCTTTGGGACTGCTGTTCCGGTCAGTGATCAAACTTATTTTTCCTTCTTTCATTTGGCAAAGTATTTGTTTGTTAAAAGTTTTTGTTTTGTCAAACCCATGTTCATGCTCTGCATCATGCATTAGTCCTGCTTCCCTGCCAGCCACGCCAGGATCCCTGTGCCAGGGATGTCAGGCCCCTCTCAAACAGCGGAGACACTTTATAGCATGTCACCAAGAAAGGTTCCCTTTCTTTAACCTGAACCAAATTCTTTTTCTTTACTTGGAAGAAAGTGCTTTCATTAATTTAGAAGGAACTTTGTGTCTCTTTTTCAAGGAGGGGCAGAAACAGAATCAGCTTTACAAAAAACCGAGGGTGGGTTACAGATACCCACAGATCAGACCTCCTTCACAAGATCCTTGAGACACCCACCCGGGGTATCCTGTTTTGCCCGCTTCATCCTGCAGAGAACCTGCCAGTACCCCTGGGCACCCCGTGTGTGTCTCACAGCCTACTGCCTGGCATCATCCCTCCCTGAGATCTGGCGCCGATTCCAACCAGACTATCATTTCCAGGTCAGTCTCCGCATTTCTGCTGACCGCGTTGCCTCCATCATGAGATCATGTCTTTCCAGAGAAATCCCACTAATGCCTTCATTCTGCGAGACCGGTATATATAGGGGGAGCTTCCCTGGGGCTGCACAGCGCAGTCCAGCCAAGGCATTGCCGTCTCCCCAGCAGCTGCACTGCCCCCACTGCTCTCCCCTCGCAGCCACAGGTCTCAGCAGCAGCAAGCATGGATATTACCATCCAGCACCCCTGGTTCAAGCGTGCTCTGGGACCCCTCATTCCAAGCCGTTTGTTTGACCAGTTTTTTGGAGAGGGTCTCCTCGAGTATGATCTCCTGCCTTGGTTCTCTTCCACTATCAGCCCCTACTACAGGCAGTCCCTCTTCCGCAGTGTGCTGGAGTCAGGCATTTCAGAGGTAAGGGCCCTTTGGCTTCCTCTCCTTTTCTTTCCTCTCCCTCCTTACACCTCCACCTGCTCCTCCCCATGTGCAGCTTGCCAGCAGGGACCAGTGGCTGTAGCCCTGTGCTGGGATGCGAGGAGGCAAGGAGGACCTCCAGCCCACTGCCAAGCATAGCCTGCCTGCCCCTTCTTGGGCATGAAGGGAAACCCTCACTGGGAAGAAGGATTCCCTTTGAGAAATGGAAACGGTTTTGGCTCTCAAGGGTTGTTTTTGGCGCCTGGAAGTCTGGCTTTGCTGCCCTCACACCCACTGGCCATATGGTGAGGGAAGAGCTAGGCTACTCAAGAAGCAACCACCTGTGGGGGCAGCTGGGTATGAGAAAGGACCCCAGCGAGCAGGAGCTTCCTTTGGCTCCCTCCTCTGCCTCGGGAGCTTGGTGGTTTTTGCAAGCCCACGCTGGAGGACCCAGGAGGAATTCTCCAAAGTAGGAGTGTGTAGCTGTGGGGGCTGTGGACTGAAGCTCAGGGATCGGTGCTTCCTCTAGCCCTCTCTTACTGGTTTCCTCCCAGAGTGAACACCACAAAGAAACCATGAATTGCTGCAAGGACAAATTGCGTGTTGTCGGGGAATGTTACACTGGTTTCCATCCCCTCATACTGCTGAGCGCCAATGCCAGGGGCACCTGGCAGATCACTGAGAGCAAAGGGGTCCCCGGCACAAGAACAGAGGTGAGAAGTGACGCCTCTCCCCAGAGTAGGAGCGATGGTGCAGACATCTACCATAGCCTCCCAGTGTCCCTGGGTCCCTGTGATGAGAAGGAAGACCCCCACTGAGGCACATAGTCACAGAAGTGAATGCTATGCCACCGCCAAACCACCCATTCTACAGTTTTTAGGCTGCCACAATGCTAGTGCTACCTCCACACTTAGAGCCCAGGTCTTACTGTCTAACAATCTTCATTTCAGGTGAGGTCTGACCGGGACAAGTTTACAATCATGCTGGATGTAAAACACTTCTCTCCTGAAGACCTGAGTGTGAAGATTATCGATGACTTTGTGGAAATCCATGGCAAGCACAGTGAAAGACAGGTAAGTGGAAGTGACGGTGGAACAACTGGGGAGTTGAGCTCCATTTTCTTTCTTTGCAATTGTCCTCATCTGAAGGGAAAAAAAGAATATACCAGAAGGAGTTATTTATTATTTATCATTATTGGCATGGCCTGTTCCTATAGATCCCCAACATGATATCTGACAATAATGAGCTAATCCATTCCTCTTTTGTTTATTTTCGATCATCATCTTCCATAACCATCAGATGACAATGTCCATTGTTCCCTAATAACACTGGGCCAGACAAAGAACATCATCTGGCGCTGCTGAAGCATGGCTGAGTTTTCATAAGCCAGAATCATTAGTGAAAACAGTTTTCATATGCTGATCTGGGAGAGAAAAGCAAGAGCAAACAAAAGAAAAACAACCAAGTGCCTCAGGCTTGGAAACTTTTACCACGTATGTCATGGAAATATCTGTGGGGGTCGAAAAGTGAATTATACCAGCAGGGGTTTAATTCTTCTCATACACTTTTTTGGCCAGACAGAGCTCTAGCCTGGAAGCAGTATGTATTTTTTAATATAGTTATTTTTTCCCAGAGGAAGAAAGCAGCCGTTTTCATGGCTGACTGAAAAAAAAATAATTGCATTTCTCATTCTTTTGGCCAATAAAAAAGGGCGCCAATACTGTGTACTTTGGCTGACACAGTCTTGTTGCCTAGTAAGGAAATACATGGGTACACACGGCTTTTACCTTCACAGAACCCCAGACTTTCTCTCCAAGCACCCTTTGAAATTGGAGGCCGCAGCAGAGCCCCCTGTTCAAATCAGATTCTAACCTACAGCATGGCCAAAATCACACCCAGTGGCTCTGCTCAGTTCTTGCACCTTCAGGGGCATCACGGGGGAATATCTACCCCTACAAACCTGTAAAATAGAATAAAAAGCAGAGATGCGCCCTGCGATACTGGTGGTACTGTGTCATGATCAGCCAGGGTGAATTTGGCCTTCTCTCCGACGGAGCCGCAGGGTTGGGCAGAGGGAGGCACAACGTGGTGCTGGGGGGTTTCTGACAGGCCTTCCCCCCTTTTCCCACTGCCTCTCAGGATGACCACGGCTACATCTCCCGTGAATTTCACCGCCGGTACCGCCTGCCCGCCAACGTGGACCAGGCTGCCATCACCTGCTCCCTGTCCAACGACGGCATGCTGACCTTCTCGGGCCCCAAGGTCCCCTCCAACATGGACGCCACCCATGGCGAGAGGCCCATCCCTGTGTCCCGGGAGGAGAAGCCCACCTCCGCGCCTTCCTCCTAAGCCCGCCTGCTGCTGCGGTACGCAGCCTGCCACCGTCTGCAGGTCTCATTCCCAGAGCCATTGCAGAGATATCAGTGAATATCTAGAGGGGTCTCTTTCTTTGGTTCCCCCCCCCTTCCCTCTCTTTGTTTCTTTTTTTTCCCCCCCCTTTCCCTTGGACGGGGCGAGGGGCTGGGTGAGTGGCTGGTGGACTTTGAAGCTTAAACCTGTGAGCTGTGCTGTGGGGATGGATGGCATGGATGATGCATGCTGACACGTGGTTGTACTTGCGGAAAGGGCCTTCGTCCGGTGCTGTAGTCCATAACTACCATCAGGTAGGAGGGAGTGCACAAGTAACACTGGCTCCTGGTGCACCTGAGGCTTGAGGCGAGGCTTGGAGCAGGGGAAAAGCCCTGCAGACTTGCTCTGCCCCACTCAGAGTTAAACTGGTTAACTCTTAAATGTTAAAAAGCAGCAGAGCCAAGGCCCACACCTGAGATCCTGCATACGTGCGATGAACGTGCCACGAGTTCCTTGCAATCGCAGGAGAAATGATAACGCCTTACCTTCGGGGGTTGCAACATACAGCTTTTTACAGCAAAGCCTTCAAGTGTCTCTGTTCACACCACTACCCTGTCATTTCCCTTAGGGGCAACTGACACGAGGACAAGCACGTCTTAGTAGGCCCTTGGGGCAGAGAGGGGGCTCACCGCTGTGCAAAGGCTTCACATCCCCAGCCAGCTCTCCCCAGCCTGTGCGTAACACACCGTCTCCCTTGCTCCCACTGTAATTCTAGGGTAGCTCCACCTCTTCCACTGGTATCTGGCACTCAACCTGAGAACGTGGTCAGTGGCGGTCAATAAAGAGATATAGGAAACACGCAATTGGCTTTGAGGGTTTCATTTGTTCCTTGCTAAGGCTTTTGAAGTTGAAAGGTTAGCGTGGTGCCTAATGCCACTTGGAGGACACGCTTTCTGCTGCTGGAAGAACATTTTGTGATGATGACTTGGCCTTTCTTTCATGTTCCTGTTACCCTTCATGTGAGCAAAACAAAAGGATCAAGAAAAGAACAAAATTCAGCAGCCCAACAACCACTCAATTTCTTAAGTTCATTGTGTCCGTAAAGACAGCAAGGCAGACCTCATTTGTGAGACATGGTGTGAAAGATTTCATCTGAAATGAATGATTAAAGCTGTTTGATGGGAGGGTGGGTAGGGCGTAGGCACTAGCTCTCCCTGCAATTACCATGCATGAAATCAGTGTCCTCCAAGCCTGCAGTGATGTGAGGACTCAAAACTGAAGGTTTCAGCACTCATACTTGACTCAAATAGCTTTCCATATGGATGGAAATGTTTAGGAGAAGTATAGCATCATTGATAACTCCACATCCCCATATTTAGCCCCATAGGTACAATCAGTCTGAACAGTGAGTGCTCTTCCTTTTGGTAGAGATCTTCACATCCAAGACCTACAATGTGAGGTGGAGCTTCTGAAGTCCACCTTGGCTTCTCCAGGAGCAGGTGCAAGTTTGTCTCAATTGGTACATCTCTGGGGGCTCCAGGATCATGCCTACAAAACAAGGCAAGGCAACAATAAAACAAGCGCATCTTCCCAGGAAAGAGCACAGGTCCATGCCCTTGGAGGGAGGTGAGGACAGCTGGAGAAAGAGCGTTTGCTTTGCTGAAAAGATGGGCCCACCAGCCTCTTCCCCTTGGCTGCAGATTAGCTGTGAAAAAGAGAGAAAATACATGCATGGTTTTTTTTCTCTCATAGTGTCGGTTTAAATATTAATATAAGCCATAAACACAGAAGCTCTGGGCTTATTTAAAATTAAAAAGTACTTCTGCTGCATCTAGGCCAAAACCCAGGGAGGGTTAGGAGTCGGGAGCAAAGTCATTGTCCCTTGTCCAGAGAAAGTGAGTGTGCCCTGGGGGGACTGACTGGAGGAGAGCCAGGAAGAGGGGCAAGGCTGCAGGAGGGGGGGCAGTGCCGAATAAGCAGGGGCAAGAGGGAAAGGAGGGAGATGACTGTCTGGTAATTAGGAAGCAAGGAATCCCCACTGCATTTAATGCTACTTTTAAACCTGTTTTTTACCGAGATTAATTATTGGGCAATCCCAAAGCTTTCTACCAAAAAAAGAGTGCAGCCTGTTGCATTTTCATCTCCAGGGGAAAGGAGTGAATGAGCATGTTTGTACATGCAGGGAAAGGGCATTTTAACAGCAGTTGCCTTTCTCTGCTTTGCCTGGCGCTAACAGGCCCCTGGCCTCTGCTCCTTTCCCCTCGGAGGCATCTCCCCTCTGGGTGCTGATACCTCTCCTTCCTGACACAAACTCAGCAAAGCCAGGAGGAAAAAAAATCAGTCCCAAAATTCAGCCCCAAACATTTTAAGCATGATCTGTGTGCAGATGTTACTTGCAGGTGGCTGAGCAGTGCTTACATCTGTCTGTCCCGTGAAATGACATTTGAACCATTTTTGGCCCCCTTTTTCTGTCTGGATCGCAGAAAGGGAAAGCTTTGATTACATGAAATTAGGGTAGGTTTGGGGCAAGCCAGGAGCCATGCTGAGGAGCAGTGGCTCTGGTGCTGCAACGCAAGGGGTGCTGAAGGACCTGTGCAGCCCCTCGCTTTGGGGGCAAATTCTGGGCACACCAGGCCTTGACTGCCTCTGCTCTGAGAAGGGCAGATTTTCAAGTCCTTTGCAATCTATCAGCTAATTAAACAAATGGCTGCTAAAATCTTCTGTGTGAGGACATGTCAGGCAGCTGGCAGTATTTTGTATAGGAGGGGGAACGTGTTGCCAAAGGGTCCCCTGCCTGTCCCCAGGCCCAGAGCCCCCTTGGCCCCCAGGGGTTCATCTGCCTGCAGAAGAGCTTGAGCATAGGCAATAACATCTCCCTGCTTCCTAATGTCTGTGTCACTCAAAATATTTCACATTTTTCACCTCAAAGTCCTAATAGTCACATCACTGTGGGATACTCCTCCTCTCCTTCTGTGCACTTGACTCTGCAAAAATTTTTGTTTCCCTTTGCTGTGATTAACTTTAATTTAAAGAAAGTCTTGGCATTCGTAGCCTATGATTGCAGTTTCAAGAAGGACCTCTTCACCACAGCTTTCACCTGTTAATAAGATGTTGCTAACACTGCAAGGATTAACAAAATTTCTTGGAAGTTTTTTGGTTAGAAATTCAGATGATTTTATTATGGAGAGAAAAGCAGTAGAGGACCCTGTCCACACGGCACTGACGGCACCTTCCAGCATCTGGGCAGTTTTGTGTAGGGTGGTCTGTAACCAGGGGTTCCTGTTCAGGGTGTCTATTCATCCTTATTGCCTGTAGTTTTATTGCCTGCTGACCATTTCCATTCAGAGTGCTAACCTTGTTTGCCTACAGCAAAGCAAAGTGACTTTAGCTTCACCTCCAGAGAAATCATTAAAAGGTCCTGAGGGGGTGTGCATCAGAGAGTGGTCCAGCACTTGCACCGTCCTCCAACCAATTCCCCCTCCTCCCACAGGCCCCAGTCACGCAGTGGTGGTGGCAGCAATGGGGGGGGGCGTCAGCTGGTGTTGTACCTGCCCCTCCCCTCCTTGGCATTGCACCCCTTGGGCAGGGTACATCATCTCTGCCAGGATCTCGTTTCCTCTGGGGAAAAGCTGGGAGCAAGGGCTGGCAGGATCCGACCTGCAGGCCACCAGGTGGGAAGCTGTCCCTGAGCATCCTGCGCCAGGGCTCTCCTCTTGTCGACCCCTTGGTAAAGGGGTATGGAGGACCCTTCTTGTTTTGGGGAGAAGGTACACAGAGTTCACCCAGCCCTCTCTGCAAGGGCAATCAGCAGATGCCGCATACCCCCCTCTCGCCCTTGGTTTACCTATTTGCTTTGGACTTTTCTCCCATGGCTTCTGGCAGAAGGACAGCCCGGGAGAGAGAGAGGCGTTTCCCTGCAAAGCCGTGTCCCCACAGCGTGGCAGCCTTTCCTGCACTCTGGCACACTGAAAACGCTCCCTTTCCCCGCCCCCCCCAACCCCGCCCCGTGTTTCAGCACCTCCGCAGGGAGACGGAAACGCAGGGCACAAGGCTAGCAGGCACATGGACCCAGTGAGAGTTGCACATGGACCCAATGAGGGTTGCACAACCCAAATATTTCTCAGTTGCTGATTGATATGCAATTTAGCCAGTGTTACATACGGACTGGGAGTAGTCTGAAAGTTTACCAGCATTTCAACCCTTTTTTTTCCTTTAAAGCAAATTCTGTTACATGCAAGCATTGTAACCCCTTACCTCCGTGGCATTGTCATCAAGATTTGGGCTCTGTCACGTAGGTCTCTACGATCTGAGGTTAAAAAAGCAGCAACTGTCTCCACTGGCAACAAAAAGGGCTCCAAACACACCCCCAAACCCCCACTATTATCTCAAAAGGACGTGACACTGACGTGCTGGGCACACCTCTGTGGTTTACTGCTGCTGTGTTGGCCATGTAGATTTGGGAGACACAGCCAGAAGAGACTGTGATGATGTGAGCTCTGCCTCTCCAAACCTGGACTTTGTCCCTCCAGTGTGACCTATGGTCAGGACTGGCTTGGAAAACCACCAGCTCACGTGAGAAGAGCAGATAATTGCTGAGTCCCTAGTTTCCCAGCTCCTGACCAGGCCGTGGGGATTTTCCCAGGGGAAGTTCAGTAGGTCCATACCCAGCCCACATGGCAGGGCAGGAGCCGGGTTATGTTGTTGGTGCTCGGGTTGCAAATAACTGGCACTCTTAAGGAAAAATGTGAAGCTGGGACACGACACGGATTTTTGTGATGTATCTTAGAGCAGAAGCAGCGCAAAATTGAAATCTCAGTTGGAGAGGCTGAGACAAGATGATGGAGGGATGCAAGTCAGCCAAAGCTCAGGAGACTTGTCCCTGCCTCAAAGGCCATCCTCCAGCTGTCTTGCAGAGACCTACCACAAACCTGAAGTCCTTCTGCTCGGGAAGCGTGGGCTCAGCCTGACCTGGAGGAGCTACCCAGCCTCAGCAGAGGTGCTGACAGCTGGGCAGGGGATCGACAAAACCCAGCGCTGCTGAGGAAATCCCTGCCAGCTGCTGCATGTCACCCCAAGCACTGCCTGGATTGTCCTTTCACAGCCCATGGCCACCCAGACTCCTGTGGGGATGGGGTACCAGCAAGCACTGCCACCACCACTGTATTAGGGGAGCTGTAAATCAGGGGGGTGCCGCCATGGGAGGGGGCAG